TTGTGCTAGGCCTCCATCTGTGTGACCTAAGGCCCATTTTTTGGGTTAAGGTGCCTGGCTCTTGTCTTTTCTCTCTGAGTGAGATTGCCTCCAGCTGGCTGCGGTGGGTCAGCTGGCTTCTGATCCTTCCAGCTGGCCCCTCAGGCTGGAATCTGCTGCTTTCTGTGGACTGTGGTCCTCCTCCCTTGCCCTATACTCTTTTTCTTTTTGTTTGCTATTTCTTCTCTATTCTGTTGAATTTCCCACTTTGGGATCATTGAGTGTGGAGGTTCTCCAGCCATTCCGACTCCCCTGCTTTCCTGGAACACTACCAAATCCCAGTGTAGGGAGGTCAGCTCTCAGCCTGTTGACTTCTTGCGACAGTGTTTACAGCTGGCTATGGCCATTTGCTTATCCCCAAAGCTGCCTTTTTTCTTAAGCCGCATGTTGATTTGGAGTTACTCAGATGCAAGAGAGATGGGGCTTTATATATTTGTCTAAAGAACTTTTATTAACAGGCCACAGCTGTCAGACGTGTTCTCCCACTTGTTCCTTTCTCGTGCTTTCTAATACTAGACCCGCTTGATCCAATTTGAAAATTTTAACTAGGCAAGAATTAGCAGGGACAGAAATGTGCATTTGCAGTCACCATGTAAAAGTTCCAGGTATAACAGATTTGGTGAAGAAATTATGTATCTGCTGGTGAGGTTGTAAAGAAGTGACTTGGAGTAATGTTATATGGAATTCTAGTTTGTTTCATAAACTATAGTTTTTCACTGGTTAAAGCTATACAAGTGTTTTTTGTTTTTGTTTTCGTTTTTTTTACCTTCTGTGCACTTTTTAAAAATGTGCACAGGGCTCATCCTAGTTTTACCATTAATGTTTACCTCCAGATTTATAATTGTCGATGCTAAAGCCAGGAGTCCCTGAATATCTATTTGCTTTTCAGCAAACATTGCTGAACGGAGCATGGGATTAAGCAAAAAATATATATAATAAAGGAGATACAGAGACTGAGGGGAGGAACTGTAAGATAAGTATGTGGAAAATAACATCTACAAATATTTCCATAAAGCACTCAACTAGTTTTAATGTAGTAATAATCTTTTGTTTATTTTTAACATATACCATCATTTTTCATTAGTCAGTAGTGTACATGTGTATTTGCAAACACAAGTGAATTCATCCTAGTAGTTAGAATGTCGAGTCAGTACTTGGCACTTGGTCCTGAGAACATCTAGTGTCACATCTTGGTTGCTTCCCAGGACATGTGATGCCTTTGGTCTGTCCCCGCCGTGTTTAACCGTAACTCCCATCAGAAGTAGAGGTGGGCTTGTGTTGTATCTTCTGCTGTACCTCCGTCAGAACCACTGCACCCACTTTCCCACTAATGTTCGTGTTACCGTTCCCTGGTGTTTTTCTCGTTGTATAACAAATCTGCCCTCTTTAAAAGAGCTGATGGATGGCTGTAAGAGAAACCACACTCTGGAGTGCACTTAAGGAGAAGAAAACCACATATTTAGCTAGATAAAACAAATATCTGTTTTTCTAGCTTTTAAAGTAACTCCCCCCCAAAACACCCACATATGTATTTAAAACTCTCATTTTGCAGGTCAGCATGTTTTCATGGAGAAGTATTTAAGTACAGTGAAGAGAGGGGGGAAATTGATTCTGCTTCTGTCAGAAGCACCATGTACCAGGCACCCTTGCAGTCTCAGGGAGCACATGGTGAACAAGATGTTAAGCAGTCTCTGCTCTCAAAAAGCTTGAATTCCAGAAAGGAGAAGCAGACATTAAAAATTTAGGCAAATGATGGGAACTTCAGGAACAAGGAAATGTGATGGTTAGCAAGGAATGCAAGTGGAGTATTGTTTTTTAATTTACACTTGAAAAAACCCTGGTTTGCATGTGGGAAGAGATTGGAAAGGGGCATAAACTAGACCGATGTGTGTGGAGATGGAGGGAAGTGAGTAGAACTGAGAGGACTGAAAGAGGTAGAATAAAAAGAACTTGGTAATGGGATGTGTAAGGGAGAGGATGGTATTGTGGGTGACTCCAGGTCCCTGACTTGAGCAAATGCATGGAAGGGATGCTATTAATTAATATAGTAAAGAATGGTGGGGTAGTAACTAAGGCAGGCAGGAGGGAATCAAGTTTTCAGTTTTGCACATGGTACGTTTGAGATGCCTGCAAAATAGCCAAGGAAAAGAAAAACCTTGAATGCATCTGCAAAATGAGTCTGGAAAAGAGGTCAGAGCTAAGTTATATCTGTGGGTGTCATTGGCACATGGATGTATCTGAAGCCATGGAAGTGGATGAGATCACAGAGGAGTGAGGGTAGAGTGAAGCAGAAAAACTTGGTCCAGGCCTAGCTCTGAGATATACCAGGCCTTTAAGGGATCTGGTAGAGGATGTGGAACTGACAAATGAGGCTGAACAGGAATGGCTAAAGGCAGTTAATTTCTTAGAAAAAACAATCATAGTTCATGATCACTGACCACACAGTCCTGGCCAACTCACAGCCACAAACCCCAGTTGGCTCTGGGAAAAGCCTTCACTGACACTAGAAAAGAAGTCTGCTGTGTGCGTATCTCGCCTTCACTAGGGGTGGGGAGTGGCTCCCTTCTCATTTTAAAAGATGACTGCACCAGATAAAATGCAAATAATAAAATGAGTGTGGGAAGCTGCTGCTGTGTGTCCAGAGCAGTGTGAAGTTCCTCTGAAACAAATGCGAAAGCCTCACAGATCAACTTCTCTGTCCTGATTCAGATGTGGTTACCAGCAAATGGGGAACAACCTTGCTTCGTTGGCAGCAGTCTTGCCTTTTCTGCTTTCTCCTGTGGGAAGTACAAGTGCTGCACCACAGAGTTGTTGTTTGGTCTCTGTGTTCAACATGAAATGGGACATTTAGATTTAATAAGAGGAGTAGCTGAGAAGAGGTGCAAACTTGCAAGCCCAGACTTGGGAAAAGGAGCACAGAGGGATCTTTTGAACAGCTCCCACTATGGCTTCAATTTTTTTCACAGGGTACAATCCTGTTTCCGTATCATACACATTGCAGTAAATCCCAGATGGCATGTTTGTGGGCGGTGCCATGTTCTAATAGAGTAAAAGTAAAATAACCTTGAATTCCTGAAATCTAAGTTATTTGCCATATATCTGAAAATTTGGGGGTATCCCTTTCTGTATAAATCAGTTTTATTTATTTGTTGAGGTCCATATCATGAGTTAAGTAATGGGCATAGTCCCTGGTCTTAATATGGTGATATTAACTGTATGTGTGCCCTTTTTTGGATACCAGTTCTTCAGTGTGAATTAACCTACGTGCTCTTTTGCAAACCATTGGAGAGTAGTAATAAAAATGGACAACTGGTTAAATGATGAAAACATTAAAAAAGCTTGAAAACCTTCATAAAGTTACCTATTTCTCATGCTTTTTCACTTTCCTTTTCTTTTTCTAAGTAGATTTCATTTCTTCTTCTGCAGTTTCAGTTCATGTTTCAGAAGTTTAAATATCGACATTTGATTGAGGGTACCGTTTCTAGTTTAACCAAGATATTCTTTCACTGTGCATGGCCCCATATATTTAGAAATGATGTCGTGGTCACTAGGAACCACTTTGCAGGTACCTGTGCTATATACCATGAGCTACTTTGGCCCAAATTTCAAATCCAGCGTGGCATTTCCACACTGAGGGAGTGAAATCTTCTGATGCGTACTCCAGCCTGGATTTGGGAGCAACAGTTTTCTAGAATATTGCTAGCCTATCCAAACCAGAAATAACTTTGTGTCAGTGATGCCCTGATTCCTTTCTACATAATCCGTGTTGGTAAGTCTTTTACCTTTCATTATTGAATGACTGCTTTCCAACACCCAGGCCTAGGCTTAGACACTTATACACATCGGCTTATGCACAGGCAGTGACCCAGTTTGGGTCCAGGAACAGCTGCTCCTGGACCCAAAGGTGGAGGAGAACCCCTGAGATCTCCATCTCTGAGGACCTAGGAGAAGAGGAGAAAGTGCAGCATGGTGGAGCAGCATGCACAGTGTTTCTGGGTGGGGGGAATTGGAGAAAAAATAACCTTGGTTTGGGGAATAAACATTGATTATTTGCATTAACTGGCTGTAATCTGGGAGCATCACATAGTGTCTCATTAATATTTAACACATACAGCTGTAAGAATAGTGCCTTAAACCTTGGTCAAATTCAGTTATGGTGATTTCAAAAGCAAACTCTAAGCAAATCGGCTTTTTCCTACTGTTCGGGTAGCACATTTTCTTAGGTCATATAGTATGGTTATTTCCTCAAACCAAATGAAAATGTAAAGGGAACAGTGGCCATTCATCAGAAATAGCAACTGACAAGAAGCTTTCCAAAGAATGTTTGGTTCCAATATTCACTTTCTGGGAATTGAAGTTCAGGGTGGTTAGGGTGGCCAAACTGGTAAGTACTGGCTTGGCCCATGTCTTAGGAAATTTGACTTTTCGCAAGTAGATTATAAAGCTGGGCTCTCCTTTTGATTTGCTCCCATTAATTTGTCATTTTACTCAATGTCATAGCTTTTTCATCTGTCCCTCCTACATTTAAAGGAGTTTCTTTAAGTTGTTCTTGATAATTGTTTCCCACAGGACACTTAGGAGGTTGTCTTATATTTTTAATATATTTCCTATGAAATTTAACTAAAAACTTACTGTTTCATGAGATATAGTATTTTTTAAAATCAGAACGTGTTATTCTTAAGAAAATTGAACCCTTTAACTTCTAAACGAAATACTGACCACATAGCAGAAAATATAAAATACTTGAATTGCCAAAGACCTTAACAACCTGTGAAATTCACAAATGAGAACCTAATGCCCAGGAAGATATGTAGGAAGTTTTTTTTAGCTCTTTTTCCAAACAGAAACTATTGACAGTAGTTGGGAAGTAAAGCATAGGGGGAAAATACACCTTTATACCTGTTTTTTAATTTGCTCTGTCCCTGACACTAACCTTTCATTTCCCCACCTTTTGTTTTTAGTGGCCACAGATGTCTTTAATTCCAAAAACCTGGCCGTTCAGGCACAGAAGAAGATCCTGGGTAAAATGGTCTCCAAATCCATCGCCACCACCCTGATCGACGACACGAGCAGCGAGGTGCTGGACGAGCTCTACCGGGTGACCAGGGAGTACACCCAGAACAAGAAGGAGGCGGAGAAAATCATCAAAAACCTCATCAAAACGGTCATCAAGCTGGCTATTCTTTACAGGAATAATCAGTTTAATCAAGACGAGCTAGCGCTGATGGAGAAATTTAAGAAGAAAGTGCACCAGCTTGCGATGACCGTGGTCAGTTTCCACCAGGTGGATTTCACCTTCGACCGGAATGTGCTGTCCAGGCTGCTGAACGAGTGCAGAGAGTTGCTCCACCAGATCATCCAGCGCCACCTCACCGCCAAGTCACACGGACGGATTAATAATGTCTTTGATCATTTTTCAGATTGTGATTTCTTGGCTGCCTTGTATAATCCCTTTGGGAATTTTAAACCCCATTTACAAAAACTCTGTGATGGTGTCAACAAAATGTTGGATGAAGACAACATATGAGCATGTGAAGTAAGGTTGCGATTGCTCGCGATTTATTTGAAGGCGGAGCACTGTTGATGTATGAAGGAAAAGAAGCATATTCTGAAGAGAAAACATATTTCAGAAAGACTTTGACCAATTCAATTGTCAGACATTAATGATACTATATGAGGCTCATTTTATTTGAAGCAATGCATATTGCCAGGAACTGTGGTTAAAAGCTTCCTGAGGGTTAACAGATCGTGGGACAGAGGTGGGGCTGCAAAATGCCAAGACAGAGTTCTGCAAAGACAGAGATGTATGGCTCCACACCTCGGGACATCCTTTCCAGGGCAGTTGACCTAGTGTCAGGGACACATTGGATAGTTCTAACATGTGCAACGTTACACATGTCGGATCACTTTTATCCCTTGCCGTGTATATGTACCTGTTTTAAAAAGCCAAGAACTTTCTCGTGCTTTCATTTCTCCTTTTGAAACAATTCCATTTTCAAGTCTACCTTTGGCTAACGATTTTTTTGTTAAAGATTTTTGTCATTGACGTTCAAGAATTAAGGCAGTCAAATCTGAACCCTCAAAGAAATAGAAAACTGCTTCTCTGAAGTCAATATTGTAGAAACCAACTGTATTTGATGTTGTGAATAATGTCTCTGGAGTTGAGTCCTGTCTTTTAGTACCAACAGCGATACTTCTCAAAACGTGGTAATTCCCCAAAATGTAATGCATACCATTGCTTTGAAATGCTTGTTGAGGGCTTCACTATCATGTTATCTTGAAAGGGTTCTGATGGAATCTCTATTTTTACTACTCGTTTCAAATGTAAGAGACAAAGAGAAAATCTAGATAGTTCTTGATATTAGGACAATAAAAAGTAAGTGGTATTAAGAAAAATAAAACCACTTTTATTTTAGATATGAGCCCATTTCCTACCTAAAATAATTTAGGGGGATCAGGGGCAAAAGGGAAAAAAGGGTTTTGATGCAGAACACAAGAATGAAAATAAATGCATTTCAATGTTTAATAAGTTTTGATAAGTAAATAAAGAATGTTACTTTTTTATTTAACTGAGAAGGCTTTTGTTATTTTTTATTTGCTATGTTGGTGAGTAAACCAAAGAGTATTTGCATTCCAAGCAGTTTGTGTGTTGTTTCTATATAATTTTATGTGTGTGTGTATAATTAAGTTCACATTTGCATATTTTCTAAGAAAGAAAGAAGGAAGGAAGGAAGGAAGGAAGGAAGGAAGGAAGGAAGGAAGGAAGGAAGGAAGGAAGGAAGGAAGGAAAGAAAGAGAGAGAAAGAGAGAGAGAAAGAGAGAAAGGAAGAAAGAAAGGAAGGAAGGAAGAGAAGAGAAGAGAGAAGAAAGAAAGAAAGAAAGAAGAAAGAAAAGAAAGAAAGAAAGAAAGAAAAGAAAGAAAGAAAGAAAGAAAAGGAAAGAAACCTGATGGCCAATAGCACTTAGAAAATGACACACACAACCACCAGCACTGAATATCTGTATTGTCACCATGCTTGTAATTTAGTGTCCTCTTGCTGAATTTGTCTGCCTCCCAGAATGTTGATGTTCAAATAATAGTTCTCCAGGAAGGGGTTCCAAACTACAAATTCCAGAAGCTGCAGTCCGCTGTACAGCCTAGAGGAGGCGCTCAGTTTCTCTGGGACCCTCATGCGCTCATCTAAGATAAGCAGCAGGGGCAAAGAGTGTCTCCCTAAATCCTGACACTAAATCCTGACATACAGGTTTGAACTTAAATTACCATTCTTACTACCCAGAGCTGGTAGATGACTACTCTATGCTATATAAATAGCATAGTGACTGCAGAAATGACCCCTCTAGCTTAGCTTACAGATTTAATTCAGCAGGCTTCCTTGACCAGCTCTGCTTTCCTCACTTGAGAAAGCTGAGTGTCATCTGTGGAGGCTGCTGATTTGGTGCATTCTGGTCTCTCCCTCAGCACAGGTGTGGAAAACGAAGTGCCCCGGCAGTGGGTGGGGGCTTCTCGCTCATCTCTAGCTATGGACAGGGCCACCAGGGAGAGGACCTAGGGATAAATTTAGATCCGTCTGGGCACATTGGAACATAGAGGTGTGCCTGCAAGCTACCACTCAAATATACACGGGGGAGGGGAAGAGCTCCCTTATCCTCACACTGAAGAAAGGCAGTGAGGCGCATCCTGGAGAAGGAAACCTGTTCGCTGTTATCGCTCCACATCATCTTCTGGAAGGAACTCGTCTCCTTACCAGTCCTGTGCCGGGGAGGCAGGCCTCAGAAGTATCCATTACAAAGTCTTGATCAGCACGTTCAGTTCATCTCTGTGCAAGGGTTTAGTTTCAGGGCTAGGAGGTGGGGAGGTGGGGGCTAGTTGGACTGGAAAGAATCCACATGTGCTTAGGATAGACCATTCTGAGCCAAGTGATAGTCGTTTTGGCATCTGATGAACATTTGTGTAAAAGATTAAGTCCTTTTCATTTTGGAAAATATGAATTCTGTTATAAATTGATTTTTAAAATTTTGTGCTGATGGCTTCTCTGCAAAGATTATAGATTAATGTCATAGATGAGTGATAATACCAGTATTAACAACTGACCCAGTGGTTATCACCTGCCAGGCACATTAACCCACTTAGTCCCTGCCACAGCCTTGGGCATTTTACAGAGGAGGACACCATGGCCAGAAAAGTTAATGAACTCACCTGAGGACACATAGCTATTAGGTGTCAGGACCACAATATCAATAAAACTGTGTTTTCATTGAAAGATAGTAAGGACAAAGGCAATTTTAGGAATATCATTGGTTCAGACAAGAGTGGGCGGCACACTTCCGAAGTGGTTTTCACATTTTGACATTTTAGATGATATTTAAATCCTACAGGTGTTGGTATTCTCTGAGATCTGGGTACAATTTATACAAAGATATTTTATGAAGTTTTCAACATGGCTTCTCATTTGGGGGCATCTCACGGCTCAAATTTCTTTCCCCTGGAACTTAAATTCAAGGTGCTCACAATTAACAATGACTTTGGACATCGACCCATGAGGCACAGTGCAGCCTGATGCCCAGGTGACCTTCACTGGACACCCAGGTGCTCTTGTGTGCACAACCAGGACAGAAGCAACAGCTCCCTCTGTGTCCTCAGGGAAACAGCGGTGCCAACTTGCAACTTCAACATCATTTTCCAGATTTAGAGGCTGGAAATACCTGAACAAGTAAGCTTAACCATAGCCTTGTGTTTTTCGGATTATTAGAACTTTTCCTGTACAAGTGAAATTTAGTTTTAAAAAATGCAAATATTAGGAACTTTAAAAATACAGAAATGGTGCTTTTGTTTTGCTGTTGTATAACAGTATCTCATTCACAATTCTCTGGAAAGTATTTTTTTCTCCCACATGTAAATAATTAGAAACACACAAAGCTTAAACTTTGTGATGGATTTTCCCCTGCAAAGAATTAATACAATTTTGTAGTCTACATTTCAAGTCAGTTGGGTTTTTACTGAATATTTAAATTTATCCTTGAGATACTTGATGAAGGCAGGTAAGCTAACTTGTTATTTAGCATACCAACCTTGACAGATAACAAATACAAGATGAATGTGTCTCTCCATATTATAAAATATTTGTAGCGAAAAGTTAAGTGCTGTTTAATTGCTAGGAAATTAAAATATTCTAATAAAACAAACAATTGGCATGTTAATAGGATTTATAATTTTTTACATTTTAGCCAATTTTGCATTTCCGAACTCGCATTATCTGAATTAGTTGAACTTGGCAGTGTTTGAAAAATTACTGCTTTGCTTGATATATTGTATTCCTGAGTAAAGTTTCTGTGTAATTTGTTAAGCTCAAAACAGGTTGTGACACCCAGCGCCGTATATGACAGGTAAAGTTTTATTCTAGCTCTGAAATAATTTTCTTACTCTGATTCAGATAAAGTGTGTGTAGAAATGCCCTAATGAAAACACTGAGGCACTAATCAGAAAAATGAGTCAACTTTTTATTCCTAAAATGGGACAGAAAAATCTTTAGGAGCTTATAATCACATATCGCCATTGTGGCAAACTATTGAAAATCCATTTTCTCATTTTATTGAGGTGTCTTTCTGGTTAGTTATGTAGGCCGAGAGCCAGAAAGACACTTTTATTTTGGGGAATTTCCCAAAATGGAAACATTTTTCAGTGATGTAGACTTCTGTCTGTCTAGCCAAAGATGTGTTTTCCATCTAGTAATGAGCATCAGTCCCAAGTTAGAGGGGACAAGTCACTCCAGAAACAGCCTGTCTGCCGAGCCCTGAAAAAGGATATGTACGAGTTAGCCAGCATCCACAGTTAGGAGAAAAACATCTGTGCTTTGGAAAATGGAGTATGGAGAATCGTGGTGTCCACCAAATTCCATTAGATCTTTCTAAGACCAGCCGACCAGTGGGTAAGGCCCCTCATCTTCCTTCACGGGTGGCTGAGGAAGTTCCCTCTGTCCCCACTCACAGCTGCGTCACTGTATTTCTGCCTCGTGGAAATAAGATGGCTGATCAGGCACTTGGGGTTTGTTCTTAACAGAAAGAAAGAAGACTTGCTTTTAAAAAGTGTGTGTTTTGATTTGCAGAATGATCTAAGACAATATTATTCTGGTACTTTGGTTTTTCCATTAGAGACGAATTAAGTCATTTAAAAGAGCCGGGTCTAAGATATAAACACAGGGCATGGAAGTGACAACTCCGGGCATATTTGCCTGGACTGTCACCGTCGTCTGGGGTGATTGCTGTTCTGTAAGGAGCTGTGGTTCCATTTTCCTGGTACTGGACTCCATCAGTCCAGCAGGAGCCACCACTCGCCTATCCAAAGTGACTGTCAGCCTCTTTTGCTACTAAGATCCCTCATTTTCCCTAAAGGACACATATATGCCAAGCAAACCATACGTTTTCATACAACATTGAATGTTCTGAAAGAGGACTGACTTGCTGTTAATTAGATAAAAGTGCCAGCATTATTGCTATTCCCTTACCACAGCGGTGTTCATCTCACAGGACACATGAACTAATTACTAAAATTCTGTGGCACACCAAAAAATATGTAATTTTTTTTTGCTGCTCTAACACCAGACAGCTATTGTTGTGTTAGCTGTTGTCTTTTTTTTTTATTTGACAGGTAAAAAATCAAAGGGAAAAGAGATCAGTGCCTCTGGTTAAATACTCAGGTGTTTCATGTTTTAAAAATTCTTGCAGCACACCAGTTGAAGGTCACCGCCATATCGTATGGAAATGGTGTTCTCATAAACAAAGAGTCACATTTCTAGTTTGCTGAAATAGTCCCTGGAGATTCTGCAGTGAAGCCCACAAGTGGAAACATTCCATGGCGTTTTCAAACACCACGTGTCAGGAGTTTTCCCTCTCTATTTGTCCTGGGGACGCACTGGAGGGTGGCCAGTTGGAGCCCGACAGGGTACAGGGACCTGTGCGGGCGCAGTTTCCAGTGCTTCCAGCTCTGTGTCTGCCAGGGAGCCTTCTTACCTTGTCTCCAAAATCTGGATAAAATCAATTACCTCATATTCTCACTTCATGGATAAATTAAACAAAATGTGGAAGGCTTTGAAACTTCCTGAAGACTATTCCTGTGTGAGGTATTGTTTACCTAAGCAGTGAAAATAAGCCTGGGGGCTAAAATAAGCGACAGACTTCTGCAGCCCAAGAGAATTTTATTAAATCCCAGTCTCCTTTGAAAAAAATTATTCTTTGCTTTCAGTTTATAATGAACACCTACTATGGGCCCCCACTATGGGCCTTGGAACTACACAGTAGCACCTAGTTCTTGCATTTGAGGAGTTTGCGGACTTGGAGGGGCACCGAGAAGGCCACGAGAAAGTTAGTGCTAAGTTGGGGTTCCCAGGATGAGGGCAATCCCAAGAAAGGCTTTGTTAAACTCGAATAGGCTTTCTAGATTTAAAACTTTCACCGTTTTTTGAGTTTTAAATTTATGCTTTAAAAGCGGTGAGCTCAAAGGAGTGGCAGATTCCTTTTCAAAATCAATGGCAAGTATGTGCATGGGTTGTGATGTACAGGAAAAGGGAAAACG